CTGAAAGGGCGAGCATGTTTGGTAGGATGGGGATTCGAACCCGCGACCCTCAGATTGCGAGTCGAGTGTCTTAACCACCTGGCCATGCCGGGCCTTGTTAGTGTTATCTTTAATATTTTCCAATGAGACAGCGGTAAATTTACAGACTTACAACGCTAAAATCCTGGGTTAGATTCTCTGCGGTGAACACAGCAGTTAGCTCAATGTGACTCTGCTTTAAAATAAGCTAACAAGCTATCTTTAATTCATCTAAACTTACAGGAGTTTTCACTGTGAATTATTCGTTTTCGTTACAGAGTCTGTAAACGGATATATCATAAGTTAGCCTTATGTGTCCTATGAAGTTTGGTTTGGTTGTGGTTAAACACAAAACTGCGTTGTGCCTACGGACTTACCACTGGGAACAATGGTAAGTCTGAAGGCTTATAACGCTATAAATCAGGTTTCAATACTTGTAGTAGGCACAGCACAGACAGTCCATTGTGTAGCTTTATGCTTATAAAAACCCAAAAACAAATCTACGTTGGGAAACTTTTGTAATTCTCCATTAGCTACAATAAGTTCTAGCATAAGAAATAGAAGTTATGTCTTATCCAGCTTATTGAAACTGTCTGAAACTCTGCATCACTTAAAAACGCCAAATTATTTCTTAAAGAATACCGTTAGGAGAGATTAAAATAATAAATTATGCAAATCAGGACTATAATAATCTTAGCTACTACGTGCTAAACAATTTCTTAACGAATCCCGCCCTCGATTTTGTCCTGCCAAGGATAACTTTGTATGATAGAATTAAAACTTGAGACAGTCGAGATGAAAAAGTTTTGATCAGATAGATCTTGTCTATCACTTGTTTGTCTTACACTTTAAAGAATTCTATAAAACTCGTACATTTTCAAATGTTTTTTTTTTATGAAACGTGACTTTAAATAAGTTAATTTTTATTTCAGATAAAGTTTAGTATTTGGTACACAGATCTCGTATAGTTATTACATATTTGATCTTATTTTACTTGTTGTATTCATACTTACTTTTGCTTTATCTGTTGTTTTAAAACAACGGATATGTCTTTTCTCATGGCTGCTACTGTAATCTTGGGAAAAAACGTTTTTTTAGCGATATACAAGGAACAATGTCCTTTATAATCGAAACGGCTGTTGATCCTTGACTTCAGAGTTATAAACTGCAGTGAAATAGCATGTGTTCTGGCCTCTATCTTGTCAATCATTCCATCGGTTAACATCTCTCTCATTGGTTTCCGATTTTCCGAAGACTTAGATACAATATCCCACAGTTGACTGTATACTCCACTTTCTTTTTCCTAAAATGGTAAGAAACAGTTTTATGTTGCATATCGGCAGAACTGTCTTAAAGCTAAAACAATTTTTCTTTGAGATGAGGTTCTTGGTATTTCAAACCAGAAAAGCAATTATGAACGTTTCAAAAACTGAAAGTTTGAATACTAAAAGCACATCTATTGTTCTTTTTTACTTAACAAATTGTAATGAACCTAAACAATATAAGACTAAATGATAAGTTTACAAATATGGTTTTAATGCTTTTATAAGTACTGCGCTAATGAAACAAGGAGTACGAGTAGTCTTAACAAATTCGAAACATCACGTTTGGCTGTAGACAGGTATTATTTAAAGAGCCTTATTGACCATGACTTGAGCAGACAAAGTACAGATGAAAAATTTTAAATTCAATACGTTTAATTTTGAATTCGATAATAATAATAATCTAATAAAAATAAATGTGATACGAAACATCAGTAGTCAAGCAATTTGTTGGACCTAATGGATATACGTTTAGGTTTGAATTAAAATGTGTAAACAAAGATCGTTGAGGAGTTTAAAGTAGACAAAATAATAATTGAGATCATGAAATGAAAAATGGTCCAAATTTCTCAACGTTTTTCTTTTCGTTATACGATATATTTAATAGTTGTATTTCTGTGCAATAGCATTATGAACCAAAGTCAATTATAGGTAATTTAGTTTGGGTGTTGTTCGAACTAATCTAAGTCAGCCTGAAAGATGAAAAAGAAAGGGGAAAAAAACCTTAATAACTGATTCGAAAAAACCGCCTCTTTCAATAACAGGAGTAATTTGTGGACGCTCCAGAAGATCTTCCAGGCTATCAATCCTATTTGTGGCTTTCCGTAGTGTTAACTTTGAAACTAATAGTCCGCTAAAAGCTGACATTGTCACAAAACATCCAATCAACCAAACTCCAATCAGAAATCGCTTTGAGAAACTAGAAGGCAAACGCTCGAAACCTATTGATTTGTAAAAGAAAAAAAAATATGTTCATCCACTTTTCTTGAAAATAGTTTACAAAACATAATAGAACAAGAGCTCAGCTGCAAAGATATTTCAATCTTTATGAAAAAAAAAGGGAAATTACATACGTTTTTATGTTTTCGATTCTCACACACAGTCTAAGTGAATTCATTGCACACGAAATATGTTATAAAATGGGAATGTTCTACATACGCGATTTGTAATAATAATTCTTTTAGCTAAAAATATAGAAAAAACATAATAATAAAACAGCTGAAAGCAGGGTAAAATTAAAATGTTACTGGGCATGTTATTGTGAAATACGTGATAGTAAATCATGCATGACAAAACTTTTCACATACACACGTCAATATATATATTGTTGTAGGCTAATTTTTTTATTACTTTAACGTTTTTATTTACTAGAGGGACGTTTTACATGATGTAATATATGTATAAGATTCATGAAAGTTTAGGCCTCTGAGGATTCTAGTAGCTTCCTGTAGTGCATAGAAAATACTAGAATATAAAATGTCAAACTAGGTGAGTATTGGTTAGTTAATCAGTACAGTATTAGTTAGTGAGTGTCAGTCTGCGAGTCTGTCTGTGATTCAGTTACTAAATTTGTGAGTGAGTCATTCAGTGTGTTTATTATCGATCGAATAGTGGGATATTCTTGCAAGTAAGCTGTACTTATAAGTTTAGCAAAGATTAGCTTCGGAATTAATCTTTAAACGTTGTTTGTACAGTTAGGCCCACCAGTGAATATAGTCTGTAGCCTGTATAAAACGTTACTGAAGAAATAAATTAACTTTTTGTTGATAATTGAACTGGAATTCTCTTCTTTTTTTTATCAAATACTCCCAAAAATTCTGCCCAACAATAAAACATGTTATAACAATTTAATAGTTTCGTTCTGAGTTAACGTGTTGTTTAAGTATTGTTTTATTATAGATTACAGCTTTTTACACTAAGGAAGATTATTTTTTTTAGAACAGGTACGACGTTTCGATCACTGATGCGATCCTTCTCAAGTATACAAATGTTAACGGTAAAGAAAATTTAAATACTAAAACCTTGTTTATCGTTAAGTTGTTCGTTTGTTTGTAATTAAGCACAAAGCTATCTGTGCTCCGCTCACCACGTGTATCAAAACCCAGTTTCTAGCGTTGTAAGTCCGCAGACATGCCGCTGTGCCACTGGGAACTTACCGTTAAAACTTTTGTTCTTGAGAATGATCGCACCATTGATTAATACGTCGTACCTGTTCTAAGATATAATTCTTACTGTAAAAGTCATAACTTGTAATAAAATAAAAATGTCATAACAATATATTACAGTATATACTCAAAATGGTTGAAAAAAAAAGAATTGAGAAGTAAGTAAATAAACGCGTATCCTGTGTTTATGAACATTTCATCTCTAAACGACTTAATAAAGGAATGTTAAAGCATTAATGAGGATTACTGATACCACAATTTAGTCACAATAACCTTTATTGGTTATTGATACTTTTGGAAATATTATCGAAATAATAACAGTACTTAAAAGAAAAAGGCATAATTAATAAATCAGTTTGTTGTCATTCGTCTTGAAAGAGACAACAAATAATGTTTTCAATCTTGATGAATAAATAGTCTTACTTGTTATTTGTTTGAAGTGTCATCGTTTCGACTTCTACATGAACTTTAAACACTTGCGCTGAATAAAGATATTCTTCTGAAGTAAAGATCATTTAATTCATAAAGATTTGTCCCCCTCCCCAGTGATTCAGTGATATATCTGCGGACTTATAACGCTAAAAACCGGATTTCGATACACGTGGTGGGTACAGCACAGATAGCCCATTGTGCAGCTTTGTTCTTACCTCAAACAAATCATAAAGATTTAAGTTGCGATCGTGAATCTGCAAATTTTAACTTTTTAAATTAACCTAAAATGTAGCTAAAGGAGGTTGATTTTAGTGTGTGAAAGTTTATGACAAGTAAATTCTTACAGCTCATTGTCAGTCAGTGAAGTTGGTTGTATCTACTTCTGCTTTAATTAATGTACAGTTGAGGTTTTTCTTTCCGTTATGTATTACTAAGACACCACAGGTTTCTTCAACTCCTCGGAATTTTTTGTTTGTTTTTAGAAGCTAATCTTCCAGTGGTAAAATGAAATGTTTAAATTAACATTCAAATTCCAGTACTATATATTTCCAAATATTTCCTAATATAAATCACAACTTCTAAAATACCCTCGTTTGCTATAATGAAAGTCCATGGGCGTAGAAAACAATAAAATATTAGTAGGGCTAGAACCACAAGTGTGTGTGTGTGATGGTAATGGTGGTAGGACGAGAATTGTTTGGTGATAGTATTAACAGACCCAACTCTAATAAAAGAACACAGTATTGGGTGTAGCAGTTAGTGAAAGACCACAGTAAATGGAACAAACTATCAGCAGTCGTGATATTGGAGAAAATAGTTTCGATACAATGTGAAGACAACGTTAGACTGAAGAGGTTTGGTTTGTTTATCGCGCAAAGCTTACACGAGGACTATCTGCGCTAGCCGACCCTAATTTAGCAGTGATAGACTATAGAAGGAAGGCAGCTATTCAACACCACCCAAACCAACTTTTGGACTACTCTTTTACCAACGAATACTGGGAATGACCGTCACTTATAACACCCCCACGGCTGAAAGGGCGAGCATGTTCGGTGTGATGGAGATTCGTACCAGCGACCTTCGTACTGCGAGTCAAACGCTCTAACCACCATGTTTTAAAGTAATTAGATACAATGCAAAGCCACGGCATTATACCTGTCTTTGCCCTGAGAAATCAGATGACAGAACCACAATTATGTGATGAGAAATATTCGTTCTTATTAATTTTAGTATTTCCTTATCCAGATTCTATTGTAGCCAAGGTAAATGGCATTATTTTCCAGTCACAGAGGTTCCCCGATGGATCAACGGGAAGCTTGGAGACTTATAACGCTAAATCTAGCGGTTTGGTTCCCACAGTGGGCGCAGCACAGACAGTCCATTGAATAGCTTTGCGTTTAACAACAAAACAAACAAACTTATATTTTATTTCTGGAGAAAATGGTACGGAGAGCAAGGTCCTTCAAATGCCATCGCTATGTGTGTGTATGCCTTAAAGGTAATCCGATCAATATTTTTTCTAGTGAGTTTGTTTTGGCGCAAATATACACGATAGACTATATACAATATACAGTCAGCTCTCCAAGGGGAATCGAACTCCGGATTTTAGTGTTATAAGTCAGTAATTCTCTAGTGGGACTATAATTAATGAAACAGTCAGTGGTGATAAAAAATTAAGAATATCAAGCCACGAAGACCATCATTGTACTCTGGAAGATATATTTACCCTTTTTTATAATATACACCTGAAAAAAAGTTAAGCACCCCCAAATATTTTTCAGGATTGCTTATTGAAAATAAGGTTTAATTTTCATGATGTTGAGCAATGTTCATAATTTCAAACATAATTAAAAGGATGTGAGCGTTCAGGTGCGACATTTAAATCAGGCGCGTTTTTTTCCCCACGTGCAACTTGCTCCCTTCTTCACGTCCAATATGCACTATTTTCTCGTGCATCAAACCCCTATTTAACTCCCGAATTTCTG